CCCAAATGAATACCGAATGACCACTAATGTCAAAAACCGAAAGACCCGCCACTAGGGTCGAACACAAAAAGCTGATCGACCACTGAGGTCGAAAATCGAGAGACCCGCCACTGGGGTCGAACATCGAAAGTTGATCGACCACTGAGGTCGAAAATCGAGAGACCCGCCACTGGGGTCAAACACCAAAAGTTGATCGACCACTGAGGTCGAAAATCGAGAGACCCGCCACTGGGGTCGAACACCGAAAGTTGATCGACCACTGAGGTCGAAAATCGAGAGACCCGCCACTGGGGTAAAAAATCGAAAGTTAATCGACCACTGAGGTCAAAAATCGAGAACCGAAGTCTTGAATTTAAAAATTTGAACTTACGTCTTGTTGTTTTTCGATCACCATGTTCGAGCTCTCTTAGACCACCTCGTCCTATCGCCCCCCGGTTCAAAATTTAAAATTCAAGCCTGTTGTATATTTCCTCAAAATCCGAATGACCTTCGTGAACAACTCTGAATGTCGAAAAATAAATTCGACGAAATCGAGAATCAAATAAAGATAATCGACCTGCCACCGAGGTCTGCTCGAACTATCCGTAATGAACTCCATCTCCCTTCTTTTGAAGTCGAAAAATAAATTCGGCGAAATCGAGAATCAAATAAAGATAATCGACCTGCCACCGAGGTCTGCTCGAACTATCCGTAATGAACTCCATTTCCCTTCTTTTGAAGTCGAAAAATAAATTCGACGAAATCGAGAATCAAATAAAGATAATCGACCTGCCACCGAGGTCTGCTCGAACTATCCGTGTCTTACCGTCCCAACGCTAGGAACGACCACCCAGCCCGGAGGCCTTAATCATGGTGGATTTTGGTCTTCGAACACATGTCCACCCTCGAAGGAGTGGTCGTTACATGTGACCACCCAGCCCGGAGGCCTTAGTCATGGTGGATTTTGGTCTTCGAACACATGTCCACCCTCGAGGGAGTGGTCGTTACATGTGACCACCCAGCCCGGTGGCCTTAGTCATGGTGGATTTTTTTCTTCGAACTGCTCGAACAGTTCGACCTGCCACTGAGGTCGACAAGGAAACACACCAAAGACCACGAGACAGAATAGTAATTGATCATTTTCGTTAGTCTCATCCAATGCATAGTTATATCGAACAAGATATAAAAGTAAAAAGAATCAAGCATTTTTTCGACCTCCCTTTCATGCCTGTACACGACAACCTGAGTTGTTGTTTGCTCCATGCTTCCCACTCTTCACCATAGCTAATATTCAAGTCACCTGCTCATGCATTTTTCTCGAATAATTCAACAGATTCTATTAGTTGCATTTTATCCACATCATCCAATTTGCAATCCCGATAGCAATAATAACAAAAGACGAATGAATCAAAGCAATCATATTGGTCCATATGCTTTTATACCACCACAATCTACATGCAAGTCTCTTTACCACGATATGAAATCACATAAACACCCATTCAAATGTATAGTCGACCAGAATTTCGCATAAACACCCATTCAAATGTATAGTCGACTAGAATTTTGCAAAACCATGAATTCGACAAGCAATTACAACAAACCATACTCTGCAGCTACAAACAATCATTAAACGAATGCACCAAACAAAAATTCGAATGAATTACTTCCAATACCGAGCTCCTTAGTCATGACGGCTCGACACTGGCCAGCCCAAAGGCCTTAGTCGTGCCAGATTTTGTTCGAGGCTCCACGTACACCTCATTTTCTGCATTTTGTTAGTCGCCCGAATAATAGTTCCGGACATATCCACATACACCGCAATCTCAACAGTATTTCGCCCAGAATATTCAAACAATGAACATTACTCCAAAAAAGAATGCTAAGAGCATGATTGGATACAAGTTCAATCCAATTTTTTTTTCATTTTTAACTCAACCACTTTTTTTAACTCAACTTTAACTCAACCCACTATCATTAATATTATCAATATAATTAAATAATATCAATCAATCATTCTTACACACAACATCAACCTTAATTCACTATTCATCTACTCACATAAATTTAACTAACTATCACATCATATCTTCTCTCTCTTACTTTTACATCAATTTAATTTTAATCATTTTATTTTAAATATTATTTTATTATATCCACTAACAACTAACCATACCTACTTTTTCAAATTTAACCAACCTAAATAAAAAATCCAATCAAAACAAAAACAAATTTTTATCCAATCATGCTCTAAGAGACTCAATGTTACATTATATTGAGTTGGTCGAACTTGACCACTCACAAGAGTTGGGATTAATTTTATACCTGAAAGTCGCGAATGCCCCTCCCAATTATCCTACCTCTCCAAAAGAGAATGATTTCTGCCTCTGAAATTGCCACCTGTGATCGGCACCATCCAGACTCGTCCCTCCGTATCATCCTGCTTTGATGGCTTCGTGCTCGCTCATTGTGTCCTCGAAGCTCCACAGCTCGTCCGCAATAGCTTGTCGAGACTCATATTATCTCGTTGTTTCCTCGACAAGAATTCAAAGAGATATCATTATCCATATTATATTCTCATCATCCATTTTTGCAATTCTCCAAGCAAGAAAAACAAGAGATCAAATACAATCATCACCATCTCCTCGATATAAGACATGCTCGAGTAATAACATGCTTAAAAAATTACGAATAGTCAATTCAAACACAATCACATGATATCCGTCATCCGAAACCACGACCCGCATTTATTTTCAATCAACTAAATTCTCCGCAAATAAATTAAATAATATCTCCACGAATAAGCCAAACAATATCTCCACGAGCAAATCAAATAATTTCACGATCGAATCAGATATCACCACGAAAAAATCAAATAATATTTCGAATAAATCACATAATCTCCTCGAGTAAATTAAATAACGCTCCCCAATTAAATCCGATAATACCCCACCAATAAATCAAATAGGCTCCATGGATAAATCAAACAATTTTGCTCGAACTAATCGAATATATTTTCCCCAAATAAACTCCATGAATATATCAAATAAACTCCATGAATAAACCAGATATGTCCACGAATATTTCACATATTCTCCGCAAATGAATCACATAATATCTCGAGCAAATCAAGTAATTCTCCTCGAGTAACTCGAATAATACCCCACCATAAATCCAATAATACTCTTCAATAAACCAAATATCTCCATGAATAAATCATATAAGCTTCACGCATAAGTCAAATAATGTTACACAAATAATCCAATGAGCTCCATGTATAAGGTATATAATGCTCCACAAATAAGTCCGATTATTCTCCATAGATAAGCCTAATAATTCCCATGAATATATCAAATATTTACTCCAATTTCACCAATTGAAAAATCCTCGAGCTCAAAATTTAAATCCCCTCCATACCTTCATCATGGAATGATATTCCAAATTACCTTCTCGTTCGCTTTTAATCATCTCGAATTAATTTCGAGCACTAAATGAGGTTGTTGGATCAATTTAGTAGTATTCTGGGCCATTTCTGCACTCACTGGGCCTTTCCTATGCTTGTTGGGCCGCGCTATCGGGCTGATGGATGGCTGGGAAGGCGGGCTGGGCGCGCGGGCCACACGCGGGCTGTGCGCGGGCTGAAACCTGAGGGACGCGGGCCGAGCGCGGGCTGGACATGGCCCGCAAAGATTTTTCTTCCTCTTCTGGGGCCTCGCGAAGTTGGGCCGCGGTTGACTCTGGGCCACTGCTCCTGGGCCGCTCGCTGACGGGCTTGACGCCTCCTCGCTGGGCTTCTCCGCAATTGGGTCGCGCACTGGACTTCCTTGCGGGCGTGGACACGGGCTGGCTGGTTGGTTGCAGATCCGACGGGCAGGGACTTCCCGACGGGCATGGAAAACGTTGCCGGAAAATGCCGCCGGCTCTGGTAAAAATCACCGTACAGATGTGCGCGTCGAAGAGGCGGTTCTGATGGTACCGTCGGATTAAAGTGATCCGCCCGACATCGCCGGAAAATTGGAGGAGATAACCGGATTTTGGCCAAAATTCCCCTAGATCCAAGAACTTTGACCATCAAATTGACGGCCTTCCCGTAGGAATTTACGCATGAAATTCTAAGGAGAGAACGAGCGTAAGAAGAGCTTTCCATTGACATGAGAATTTTCCCTATCGGACAACTTTGGGCGGCGGCCGGCGGCGGAGGTGGCGGCAGAGGGCGGCAGCCGCGGCGGTTTCCGGCGAAGATCGGTAGCTGTAGATTCGTCTCGCCGAGAGGATTCCGGTGGTACCCTCGAATTCTTCATAGCCCTCCCGGATCGTCGGGAAAATGCATTTGAAAGCACGATTTTGACCAATTTTTTACTAGATCTGGAAACTTTGACCGCAAAATTGACGGTCTTCCCGGAGGAATTTTCGAATGAAATTTTAAGGGGAGATCCACCTCGAAGAGATCTATCCAATGATGAAAATAATTTTCCGATCGGAGCATGTTTTCCGGCGGCCGACGGCGAGGGTGGCGGCCGACGGTGGCGGCGGTGGTGGCGGCCGGTGGAGAAGAAGGAGCTTGCTAGAAAATTTCCCGAGTTTTTCGGTCGGAACTCCGTTTGGCTTTTTTCCCGGGTCCCACAGACGGCGCCAATGAAGTGAATAAGATTCACCGGGCTCCTTCAACTAGAACGGCCACCGGACCTGCAAGAACCCAACGCCGGGAGGGGTCCCGGCGTCGGGCCTCCGACGCTCAAGTCAGAATCACTCCAAATCTGAAGAGTACAATTATGAATGTAGAAAGAATGTGAGAATGGAATACCTTAGCCCCCTTTTACAGGGGGAGTGTACCTTATGGCCCAAATTGGATTTGTCCAATAGCGTCGTGCCACGTGTCCTAGCCATGTGTAGGCATATTCTTTAATATATTCCTCTCTTATCCATTAGGACTGGCCTAGTATATAATATCCTATATCACATGAGAACTCCACTCATTTCCATCAACAAAATAAATAAAGCAAAATATTCAGAACAGAACACTTGGGAGGCTTATTTGGCCATGGCTTTGCCAATGGTTCGGACAACACAGATCCATAGGAACTGAAGTGCAGATAGCTTACCTTGTTAATAAGAGCAGATGAGCCGACATTATGCTCAAAGATCTCAGCACCATCTTCACTTTCATCATGGGTGACTTTATCTGCCTTCATTGCCTCCACTCCACCATCTGTTCCATATTTATCCACTATGCTATTGCAAAGCTCAATCTGACAAGGTCAGGAGGAGTTACTGTGAGCATATATAGCCGTGAGCATATATAGAAACCACTGCTAAACAAAATCGTCAATGTTTGAAAACAAAAGGCATCAGAACATACTAAATAGAGCCAAGAGCTATGATCTTTGATCAAAACATGGTACATGACTGAGTAACATCTTAATGACCAAGAATGGATTTGAATATTTTTTCAAGCCATCGAAATTATCAACCAATTTATCTGTCAGTCAATACTTACCTTGTGATCCTCCTACAATTGTACCGCAGACCCTTGCAACAGAGCAGCGTCTTCGAGTACCCCAAATAAACCTTCATTCCTAATGACACATTTGATGCTTGCATTAGAAGTCACATAGTTAAATATTATGTTTTCTTCGAGTCATTAAATTCAATTTCTCAGGTATCATCACCAACCCAACTTACAGCAACAATTTAAATGAATGAGCAGATAATGATTAGTCAAGTTACCAACTAAAATCTCGAAAAGAAAAAAATGGTTTTACACTAATTAAACTATCCCATTACATATTACAAAGTGCTTTGAAGTGATTTGTCAAACTAAAATCAGAAAACAAATATTGTGATATTGCATACACAGATATAATATTAAGATTTGATCCAAGATATTGAAGTTAAGGGATCACCAAGCGGAAAAACTAAAAAAATAAAAAAAAATAAAAACAAATAATTCTGTTGGTAACCTTTGTCTGAATTAGATCACAGAAATAAAAATTCAAAAAGTAACACAGACAGTAACATCTGAAGGTTCTTCCAATCTTTAAGATAAATTAACACAGACAGTAACATCTGAACCCGAAACATCAACAGAAAGTAAAGATGAACCCTGTGAAGAGACAACCCCCATCCAATTGTTAATTGTGGCCCTGAGTATTCTCCAAAATTAATATCCTGAAACAGAAACAATCATTTCCATAAGAATGTATACCCATTTGAACTCCTCTTTCTGTTAAGCTTTCAACTATACCTGTAGAGCGCAATCCCTAAACGCATAAAGTATGGGACATCTAGTAATTGAGAGTAGACCAAATCATAAAATATCTGCTGGCTTATATCCCTTGGCAGTATCGAGAAAGTGCTATATTTGTTTTAATCCTCACACACACAAGAAAATTGTTAATTATTTCCCTTGCTATATATTCAAAAAGGAAAGGCGTCTATGCTGAAAAATACTTCCAAATTTTGTGAATACACAAATCCATGAGAGATGGGAAACTCTTTCCGCCCCGACTGGAGTCCATAGATGCTCTAACCGATGTCCAAAGCCATTTTGAGCTCCCACTTTTAGTATATCTTTTAGTAACCTGTTGATCTCGTTTTGTGGAACAAGATAAAAGTATTATAACCATGCGAAATGTGATTATTCAGTATCAGTATATCCAACAACAACAACAACATAGCCTTTTAGTCCCAAGCGAGTTGAGGTAGGCTAGAAATGAAAATCAAGAGAAACACAAAAAGGGCTCAAATCAAAACAAAAGGAAGAGATTGGATCAAAAGAGAAAGGAGCAAAAGTCACGGTTCTGGCACGTTATCCAAAATGGAAAATTTTGATTATTCAGTATCAGTACTGGAACTCAAAATCACTCAAAATCACGGTACAGATTATTATCAAATTTTGATCTATCGATCTGCAAGATAAGTCTTGTTACAAACTGGACAAAAACGAAAAAATGTAAGAACACCAGAAAGTATTTTTCCCTCGAGAAGTTCCAGGCTGGCACCTCATCCAGTCGAGATATGGCTCATCTTTTTCGCAAGGCCAACCTTCTCGACAGCAGCAACCGAGTCCCCTCCTCCAATGATAGTTGTCACACCCTTGCCACCGAGCTCTGCCGATTTCTTGGCTATTGCTTAAAATTGGGCAATTACACCAACCTTAATTCTGAAACTACAAACTTATTAAATGTCGAGGAATTGTTCGTAAAAAGGTTTAGCCTTTGACACTCCCATTTAGATATCTGAATCACTTTTATTCAAACTGATTGCAGCATTTCAAATGGGGTAGCTGTAGTTCGAGAATTACTTTGGTTATCATGATATTAGGCTAAAACTTGAGTGAATTTAGTATTTGATTTTGAAGTACCTCTATTCCAGTTGCAAACTTATCAAGCTCAAACACACCCACAGGTCCATTCCAGACTCTGGTCTCGGTAATTGTGAGAAAAGAATAACAATATTGTTAATGTCCCATTTTCTTTATTTTTGTTTAAATAAAATCAAGATTCTTTAGTTAGTTAAATAACTTGCTGTATCATTAATATATATTTTTTATTTTAATTGGTCATGTATTTAATTTATTTATTTATTTATCTAACTTTGGTTTATATGCAAAATGAGAAAGAGAAACATATTTAAAATTAACTGAAATGGGAAAAAGTTATTGGGGAACAGCTGTAATCTGTAGAGGGATCTCCATTGGAAACCCATAAACTTTTCAGAGTTATTAGACCNAATGGATAATACAGATATCTACATTCCACTCAACAACAAAACTTCACCCAAACAAATTTATTCTACCATAGTACCTAACTAGCCACGAGAAAGACGTTTCGAGCAAGAGCCCACATCAATGCTCCACCTTCACCTTTGACGTCCCTCACCGCCCGCACCCCGTAGCCGGTGACGGCTCCGACTATGACACAGTATATGATATGAATACCCAGCTTCGCTTCCAGGCACCCTCATCTCCGACCTAGAAGTGATTTGGAGATTTTGATCATATGTTGGCGAAGTCGTCGTCGACTACGGGCTGCGGAGGTGAGGGACGTCAGAAGTTGATGGTGGTGAATTGATGTTGCCTCTCTTTGCAGATCATTCTATTATTATGTTCATCATGTTGCTGTTGGCATTGTAAGGAGCTACTACTTGAGATTACTGATTCTGTCCGTTTTCTTTATGTGCTTATATTTTTGCATTTTTTTTAAATCCATTTTTTCTTCCTTTGTGATTTTGGTAATCCTCTTTCTGTTCAATACTTCAACCACACCTAGACTCTGAATCTGGATCGCTGGCTCTGGATCTTTCACTGGTAGTCATCTATGTAAGAATGTAAGAAGAAACACTTTTATTGCATTTTACTTAATTTTTAGGCATTTTCAAATAAACAAAATATTTTTACATATAATTTGCAACACACCTTTTTATCCAAACTCTTTCCGGCCAACTCCGAACTGACATGTCCGGCCAAAATGCTTATGTGGGTTTGCAAATTATGTAAAAATATTTTGTTTATTTAAAAACGGCTAAAAATTAAGTAAAATGCAATAAAAGTGCTTCTTTTTAGATAGAAGACTACCAGTGAGAAATCCAGAGCCTATTAGTTAGCACTCATCAGTCCATATCTAGAGCCTACTGGTGAGGTGTGGTTGAAGTATTGATCAGAAAGAGGATTACCAGAATTCTAAAGGAAGAAAAAAATGGATCTAAAATAAAAATAAATAAATAAAATGCAAAAATGTAAGCACATAAAAAAAACGAAGAACAATTAGTAATCTCAAGTAATAGCTCCTTACAATGTCATCAGCAACATGATAGCAACATGATGAACATAATAATAGAAGATCTGCGAAGAGAGCCCACATCAATTCTCCACTATCAGCTTATGACGTCCCTAACCTTCCGCAGCCCGTAGTCGACGATGGCTTTGCCTATCACGCAACATATGGTCGGAATCTCCAGCTCGCTTCTAGGTGGTGTACACCTTGGCCTTGAAGCTGGAAATTCCGACCATATGTTGCATGATACTCGGAGCCGTCGCCGGCTACGGGATGCGGGCTGCTCAAAACGTCTTTCGTGGCTAGTTAGGTACATGGTAGAATAAATTTGTTTGGAGAGAAGTTTTGTTGTTGGGTGGAATGTAGATATTTGTATTAGCCGCTTCTCTCGGGCTTTTTCTATGGTTTAATAACTCTGAAAAATTTATGGACTTTCAATGGTGATCACCTTTGATTGGATAGGGCATATATGTAAATAAATATTACAGCTGTTCCCCAATAATTTTTTCTTTAATTTTAAATATGCTTCTCTTTCTTGTTTTGAATACAAATCAAAGTTAGATTAATAAATAAATTAAATGCATACTAATAAAAATATGTATTAATGACGACAGAAAGAGAATAAAAATTCTTTCACACCCATTTCTCCTAAATCCTCAACGAGCAAGAATACCAAAATTCAAATCTGAAAATGACAGTGAATAAATCAAACAAGACAACCCTAATTGAAACCAAACCTGAAAAAGCGCTCTAGTCAAAACGGGATTCTGGATAAGTAACTTGCCTTGCCTGCTGTTTATTCTGCTCTATCAATGTCTGCGCACAAATTCAAAGCTTCAAGCTTCATCCTTTCAACAAGGATACCATATCGAATTTCACAAATAGAATAACTACGCGATTGTGCTAAATATAATTAGAACCGAAAACTGAACCTTCATCTGAGACATGAATATCGTACAGCTGGTTCTTGGACATGCCGGCGAGACTCGGTCCGCCGGCAATTTGCTTTCCCGCCATAATTCTCTGCACGAACCCACGCTCAAAATTGAATTTTCAGACAGAAAGGAGAGATTGTTTTACTATAGTTTTGAAAACAGGATCGAACCGTCCGGTTCGGCCGGTTCAACTAGGAACCGGTCTAGATACCGGTCCGGTTCAATGATGTAAGCCGCCTAGCGTCAAAACCGGAACGGAACCGAATGAACCGGTCCAGAACAGGGTTGACGGGTGAACCGGTACCGGTTCCAACGGGCCAGCGGATCTGAAAAGGGCAATTTTTTGGATCTGAAAATTATAATGGAAAAGATCCAAATCCAAACGCAAACTCTGAACCAAGGATAAAAGATCCCGAAATTCGCTATCTTATCATATTCTACAGGTATGGTACTTTTGCTCATCCGTCTAGACCTTCGATCGGACCGCTGCTCAACATCTGACCACGACCCATGCTCCTGTGGTGGGTGTTTCTTCGTATGTTATCAGTGATATGCCCTTAGGAGAATTTTAACTTCAATTTCCTGATGTGGTTTGTAGATTAGGAGGAGAAGAATATTATTCAAATTTTTTGTCTACTTTCTGTGGGTGGCAAGATATAAAGGACGATGAGGAATTGAGGATGTATTAAACTGATAGGGTTAGTAAATGGATTTGAGTTCTGATAATGGGTTGGGCCAATTTATGGTGTGTTTATGAACTTGGGGCTTGCATTTTTATATTTTGGCTGGGCATTTATAAAAGATTATCAACTATTTTGTTTTAATTTTATTTTTGTAATTAGTTATAATGTTATAGTTCATAATATATATTACATTACTATTAATTATAATATATATATATTAATATATTAAATACCGGTTCAATTTATTGTGTGTTTATGAACTTGGGGGTTGCATTTTTATATTTTGGTTGAGCATTTATAAAAGATTATCAACTATTATGTTTTAATTTTATTTTTGTAATTAGTTATAATGTTATAGTTCATAATATATATTACATTACTATTAATTATAATATATATATATTAATATATTAAATACCGGTTCAATTTATTGTGTGTTTATGAACTTGGGGCTTGCATTTTTATATTTTGGTTGAGCATTTATAAAAGATTATCAACTATTTTGTTTTAATTTTATTTTTGTAATTAGTTATAATGTTATACTTTATAATATATATTAAATTACTATTAACTATAATATATATATATATATATATTAATATATTAAATACCGGTTCACCTACTGGTTGGACCAGTGAACCATTAAATCAGTAGCTCCACCGGTTCGATGACCGGTTCGGTTTTCAAAACCTCAGTACATTTTTCATGAATGATGAGCCGTCAAGTTGCAATATTGGATTTGTATATGCCGATGTTCTACTGGGTAGTTCCGAAAGGCATAAATACAGTTTTGTTCGAATTCATCGATGAATTTGGGAATGTTAATCAGGTGAAAAGTGCTAATTATTCGATCACTCTATCAACAACACAGATAACGATTTTACTCAAAAACTAAAAAAATAGCACATATATTATCTTCATGGGTCGTTGGCCGAAGGGTAATTGGATCGAACAAGTTTAAATAGAATAGTAATTAAAACATATCGCCGAATCATGAAAGATGATTACCGGCACATTTTTCTAGGATAAACAGAGTAGTAATCAATAAACATATATGTTAAATGGTCAAGTTCCGTTTAGCCTAAAAAATAATACGATTGGATTATCGATTTTCACCTATTTTTAACATTGTAATTTTTTATCGGACATTTAAACATGAGTCTATTAAGGCTAGCCTGAGAGTTGATCACTATATTAGCCCGTTAACTGTTTATATTAATATAAATAAGATTTTAACACATATATTTCTTTTTTATATAGAAAAAAATAATAATTACTTAATTTTTTTTATCATAATACTCAACTATTATTTTTATTCTAAAATTTATTGTTATATAATGTGTTTATTATTAACACTTATAGAAGTAGTGTTTTTTTTATATAATTATAAATATTCAATGTACATTATATTATTTATTGATGTAATTAGTCTAAACATATATTAACAAATATAAAACAAAATATTGTGCTATATTTGCAATTTATTAAATTTTTATAATTTATCCTATCACATCATAATTAATAATAAAATCATTTACATATGTATATATATAAATAACCAATTTGAAAAAAGAAAGAAAAAAAAAAGAATATTGATCAGAAAAAGATAAACAATGTAGGTTTATTTATGTTAATTGACTATAAATTATTGAAACAATTAGCCTAAAGTTTTTCGTCCATTATGCATTGCAATATAACTTTACCATAATAATTAAAAAGTTGAGGAATTAGTAAGAAATAAATCTCTTCTATAATCATGAGAATTTACATTTTACAACTTTATAGTTAATTTATCATGCTATGCAATAGAAATGTAATTTTCAATATATGTGATGAAAAAAAAACAATTCATGTACATTTAACGTATTAACTAATAAATATTTTTTATATTCTAAAATAAGAAAAACATATAGCTTAAACAATTATGATATTTTGTTAACCGGTTGAGTTATATTTTAGAACAAAATACACAAATTGTTTTAGCAGATATATTTTGCCTACCACATATTAAAATAGTTTATTGATTTTTATAGTTTTATTTATAGACCTCGATATAGGTTAGGACAATGACACAGTTGAATGTTATCTGCATTGGTAGTTTTACCGTGTAAATGAGGTATAATTAATTAGGTATGAAATATAGTCAAACATGAGTCTCGATACTATGTGGTCCTAAAAATAAGTTTTATTTGATACTACTTGAAAATTTAGTTATATGTGAGATCCTTCGATATATATGGCATAATTAATACAAATATACCTCGATATTCAATCAACTGTGTAATCTAGTAAAACAATAATTGATGAGATAAATATGAGTATGGGTATTAATGATATTTAAGAGTCCTACCATAGATGTACTCGGTTTATCATATAAGAGAAACAACCTAATATAGAATTATTATCTACCAAAAATTCAGAAATTATATGAAAAATATGGAATACTTATTAGATAAATATTGTTTTTAGTTAGGAATACGAAAATGATCAACCTGTTTAACAATGTGATTGGATGAAAATATTGACTTTTCGAATTTCAAACCCACATAAAAACGGGATTATTTGAATAATTTTTATAATAAAATTGTCATTAACAACAACAACAACAACAACAACATCAACATACCCAGTATATTCCCAACAGGTTGGGGTCTAGGGGGTCAGTTGTACCCAGACCTTACCCTTGTAATTACAGATGTTAAATGGTCCTTGGCCCGACGGGCCGGCCCGTTTAGCCTGGAAAAAAACAGGATTATGGCTTTTTATTGGTAGCCCGTTTAAATGCGGGCTTTTTAGGCCCGGACCGTTTAGCCCAAAGCCCGTTAGGGCTAGCCCGAAAACCGCTAGGGCTAGCCGGTTTAACTTGGGTTGTGTGGTGTATATGTTTTTAGAAAGTCAAAGAATATGTCTCATGATTCCTTGTATATTACAATTTTGCTATTTTACTTCACATGTAATTATGAGTTATAATGTATTATTATTATTTTGATAGATAATTTTATTAACAAATTTTATTCTATTTCACAACAAAATATTTAAGTCAATCAGAACGACTAATAAAAAACAAATGAGACAAAGACCTAACACATAGAATATAGTGATAGAATATGAATTCAATAGTATGCTATATTGTGAAAATTCCCGAAGCGTACCAAATAACTAATCAAATGGTAGTTATAAGTAATAGTTCGAACATTTTCTATTGAGAAACAATATGTTATTTAAGAGTTTGTAAATGTGTGTTCATATATGAATTGTAGTTGTATATATATAGTGGTAAATACTAAATAACCGTTGAAAAAAACCGTTAACTAAGTGTTGTAATGTTTTTATATACTAATAAGACTAGGGGTGACTCCCCGTGCACAACACGGTAAGGCCCACGGAAGGTTATTCGAGTTGGTTTTCCGAAATAAATATTAATTTCTTTCATTAGTTGGGGTTTTGGTTTTTTTAAGTATAACTATTAGTATAGATATTTCAATAGTACTCTGAAAAAAAACATTTTTATGTGGGAATTTATTTAGGTAATTGATTTCATAATTGAAATATGTCTTGAATAAATTATTAAGCAATGAGAATATTTATATAGCCAAACAAAAGTATGTTTATTAAAACATATGACAAATTATATAGTAAAAAGAAATAATATGCTATAAATTTAAATTGCTATTACAAACCGTATGAGAAAAACTATTATATCCGTAGAGATAAAGTATACTATAGTGATCAGAACCAAGGCACAAGTAATAATGTCGCACAACATTGTTTTCCAACAACATAACAAAACTAACATTCGTCCAACTAAAATCTAAAACACACATCAACTGACAGATGGCGAGACCATAACACATGAAATAGTTACCCAATGTATCACCTATAAAAAAATGAATGACTAACACCACTCTAAAAAAAGAACATATGTTAAGAAAAATAAAGTGATATGAGTAGGCCAAAACACAATTGTGTAAATTTATTACCAACTTCATCCACGTCTCTCTTATCTTTTTCTAGCTACATGAAGTAGTGAAACGTAAAAAGCGCTTATAAGTGCTAGAGATAAATTTTTAAAATAATGCAATAGATTTCAGTATGTGAAAAAATTGTGATAAAATTTATTTCAATTTTTTATTAATAATTACCTTTTGCAGTGAAACAACCAACCTCCAAACAATCACTATCCACTGTAATACATAAGCAAGTCCTTATAGCATGAAACCTATAAAAAAGACTACAAAAAGCTTTTACAAAATTTTAGAAGTTTTAGCATACACAAAGCTATTAATTAATACAACTGGCAAGCCAAGTTTCATAACATATAGAGCAAGCTCAGAACATAAAAAAAATATATATAACATCTAATTTTTTCCATGAGACCAAAATTTTATAACCATTTCACAAAATGAAAGAACAACAATAGGTCATGTAACAGCATCAGACACATATATTTAACACTATAGTTTTGCTTACTTTTTTTAAAAATTTAAAAAACTTAAAGCATATGAGAATTTGGAGTATTGTTGTCAGAGTCTCAAACAATGATATTCGTTCAATACTCAAGTGAAACTTGTGAATTTATTGATTAGTTGTTCGACACATGGATAGGTTTATTTGATTTCGGATCTGTACTCACCTTAAAGACCTAAAACTGAAACTTGTTGTAAAGGAAATTGCAGATCTACCCTTTGCAAGAAAAATATTAAAATGTTATAGCCGAGTCAGGTCGAGTTGGCAAAAGACTTAAGATGACGACATCTTAGGAAATAGTAATAGTAAATAATGTATAATCGTAACACCAAACAACACAAAGAAAAAACCCAAAAAGGAATCAGACTAAACCAACAAATAAGTTGATAATAATCGATGTAAGATGAAAAGAAAGAAAGAATAAAACGATGAATATGAAGTTGAACTAGAAGTTCACCTTTGTGGAGACTCTAGAGAAGGAAACCAATACTCACGAAAGGATGGTGCTTATACTCGTCACTCAATTTGGCCCTGAGGTTTACGATAACCACAAAGCTGCCAGTCTGATTCGCATTGAATTACTGGAATATCCAATTCAATTTCCCCAATATGCTCCCTCGAGCTGCTAATTTGAGGCCAGCGATTAATGTTAGTGTGTTTTAGGATTTTATGTATTAGTTTTGCCGATTATTTCATTTTGGAAAATAAGATTATATGTAAGATAATAAATAGATTTATATGGAATAATTTATATATATATATATATGGTAATACGAAATTAAGTTATTTGATATTAAATTAATAATTTTTATCTAAGCCATATTACAAAGCAGAATATTTTGCCATGTAAGGTTACGAAGCGTGCAAAACTGTCAACTAGGCTCAGCGCATTCTGAAATTATATATAAGGCTACGTTTGGATGAAGGATTTACTGAGGGATTTGAAATCCATAGATTTCAAATTTACAAGTTCAAATCCTCATGTATGTTGGGATGATAATGGAACTTGAAGGATTTCAAATTTATGTTAGATATTTTTTAGTCATTATTTTGAAAGATTTTAAATGACTCCTCAAACCTAGTCATTTGAAATCTACTATTTATCACTGTTGACGATCACGCCATTCGCGATCATTTAGGTTTGTGTGCGAGCTAGACAACTGATTTATAATATTTTCAACACATCCATTCAAGGAGTTCAAGGAATGTGCAAATAAAAAAAAAAATTATATTTCAAAAATTTTGAAATTAAGGGATTTCAAATCACTCAAAACAAACGGAGCCTAAGGGGATTTCGATTATTTAAGACAATTTAGTTTGAATTCGTACATAAAATTACCACAATACATAATGCATAATATTGTTAAAAAGGATGCACATTAGTGATTCTCGGATGCACAATATTGTTAAAACAAGATGCAGATTATCGGGCTGCACTATAGTGTTAGGCCAGATGCACATTAATGTGTTCGAGAACGCACATTAGCATAATAGTGCATTTTCACATATGTCAATAATTTGGTTATTTCGGTCCGCGATGAAAAAACGAAATAGCAGAAGTAGCAAAATATATAAAATATTATTTTTATATTTTATCTAGATATATATTATTATTTTCAACAAACAATAATATAAAATATTAAATAAAAAATTACATATACTAAATGTATTTTTATCTCTATTATTTAAATTAATACGGTTAATCGATTAAATAAACTGATTATTTCAGATATGCTTTAGTTTGGTGTGGATCAAATCATTAAAAATATTTGTGCTGCAAGTGCACAATAGTGTTAGACGGAATGCACATTATCACTATCAAATTGCACAATAAAGACCGAAACCATCCGATCTCAAACTTTCGGTTCAAATTTTTATATTTCGGTTCGATTACCTATTTTTGCTTTTAAATCATGGTTATTTCAGCTCAATGTCCGCTTTATTTTTAAAAACAGCCGAAATAACATAACTGTCGCACATTATAAAAATATCATTATTTTTTTTAATGTATAGCGGGTGCAAATTAGGATCGTATGAATTGCACATTGGTAGGTAATATATTGCACAATATCGAATGACACCGACTAAACTAAATTTTTCCATTCAAAATTTTAAATTTCTGTTCAATTGTCTTCACTTTTAAAAATCGGTTATTCCGATTCTAAGTCGTTTTTTTGTATATATATATATAATTTACCTAATTGAAATATCCGGATGACCAAACTATATAAAAAAATATTATTATAATGTTCTTATATTTTTATGTAACATATTATTTATTTTAAACAAATATGTATTAAAACATTAATTATAGTTTGATTAATTACAAATTTGACCCATGAACTAAATTGTAATATGTTAAAATTTATAAAATTGCTATCAGGACCTTACTACTTATCAAATTTACAAACTTAAGTCCCTCAATTCAAAATGCAAATCCCGATCATCTTCTCCCCAAGCAAGACATCTCCGCTGCTGATGACCATCGCGATTCGAGGTTCGACTCAATCTCCGACTGTCATCGTCACTTCCACCGTGACCTGAGGTGCGATGACCACGACTCTGCGTTGTGGGGATGACAACATCAGGCAGAGGTATAAGGGGGCGCCGACGAGGTAGGAGGGGACACCGACGAGATTGGGGCACCGCTGGAGTCTCATATGTCGTGGCAGTCTATAGGTGGCGGGCGACAGATGCCCGGCTGCGGGCTGGTGAAGGTAAGCGGATTAGGACTGAGATGACGACACTGAGTGAATCATGTCGGAGGCACAACAACGGGCTTGTGACGGTATGTAGAGGAAAACTGAGGTGGCGGAGGTACGGCGGACGGGCGACGGATGTACAGCGGACGGGCGGTGGATGCACGGCTGAGGCATGTCGACTGTCTTTGTGTGTGTGTGTGTGTTGGGAGAGTCTGCGTGTGTGTCTAGTGTGTGTTAGTGTGTGTTTTTGTGTGAGATAGATATTAGGGTTGGTGGGTTGTGGTGGGACACGCTTGTCAGTAAATGGTATATATTTGACCATCATATATTCCGACGGTACAAATTCATTCTTATTTCTTTCACTATCTCACTTTCTCATATGATCCTAACTCTTTCTCTCTCTCTCTCTATATAGTGTGTGTGTGTGTGTGCGCGTGTGTGTGTGAATCAAAATTGATAAGAACTTTTTTTTTCTTTTATTCTGTATTTCTAGTTAATTTCCTCAAAACAGTGTTTAGTTATAACTGGAAGGTTTCGGTTTTGAATAAAGAGAACACTAAATTTTTTCTAAAACTAGTAGTCACCCGTGCGATGCACGGGAATATTATTATCTAGAATGTTTTTAAAAAACAATTTTGTATATAAATTGTGTTATGCAGGCAATGATCATGATCATAATAATAGACATATAAACATATCATTAAATTGAAAAAATCATATATTATTGAACACTTCCCTATATACAACATTATTGGTTTGATTCTTTGGCACGTCATCTTCGCCACAAATTAAGATTTTCAAACCTTTTCGATTAGTGACACGGGAAACAGCAATATATAACTGGCCATGACTGAATACTGATTTCTTAAGAAATAAGTCAACATGAGATAAGGATTGTCCCTGACTCTTGTTTATAGTCATGGCGTAAGAAACCATAATGGGAAACTGTCGCCGCTGGAACTTGAAAGGAATTCTAACATCAGAAGGAGTTATGGCCATTCTTGAAATCAACACCTTATCACCAACATGATCTCCTGTGAGTATCTTACACTCAAGAACATGAGTCGATAGCTTTGTCACTACCAATCGTGTCCCATTACACAAACCCATAGAATGATCCATGTTCCGCAACAACATGACTGGAGTTCCAATCTTCAAATACAACTCATGGTTCGGTATTCGGGAACACTTGATACTATTCAAAAACTCAGGCGTATGGAGATCAGACAAAAAATCATTATTAGAATCCGATTTACACGTACTGTTAGAGCTCAAGTTCATACGACCATCCAACAAATTTAATGATGTCATGTACTGATTGATAGACTCGACCACATCTAACGTCGGCGCTGATATAGCCCTATCCTTCAATGAAACTTGGATCGTCGGGTGCCTCTTTATACATTGGTTATGTGCTTTCAACTATCTGAGCAATAGAATCATCAGATGGCTGAAGAAAAATGTCCTCGGGTATGTCTATAGGTGCACATCCATCATTCAACCCTCCGATAGTTCCATCTCCGATGTTGGCTATCCAATCTGCAAACCGTGCAAGCTCATCACGTTCATCCGAATTAGCAAGTCCCTGAAGGCGCATTTTTTCGTAAGCCTAAGCACAGTACAACTCCTCCATATGTCAGAAGAATTAATGGCAGCATTGACTATGTCCTGACGGCTACCCTTTAGAATGACAGGAAGGATTTGTCGAAAATCTCCACAAAAAACAACCGGCTTCCCACCAAACGGTTTGTTCAAGTTCAAAGGATCAATTGCTCCCATAATACCCTGCAACGATGTCTGTACAGCTTCGAAACAATGCTTGTGCATCATTGGTGCTTCATCCCATATTATTAGAGAAGCACGAATTATCAATGGTGATCTATACATTCCGATATTACTCTCGACTTGATAGTTTCGAAATACATAGACAGCACCTTCTTCGAATTCATTGATGAAAGTTGGGATGTTGATTGCTTTACTATTCCAGTAATTCGACCTCCCTGAAAAAAAAAAAAAGAAAAATAATATTAGATATTAGATATTATAATTAACATGATGAGAAAAATGGATAATCATTATTTTTTATTATGAATTAAACCTCAATGTCATGAAAGACAATTTCAAGGATGTTCTTGTAGGATAAGTATTGATTAGTCCATTGGAAAACTCGAACCACCCTCAACTTGAGCATTGGCCTGTTGATTCTTGTTTCTTGCTTGATGTTTCCCCATGCTCTCGCCATTTTTCTGTTTGTATGTGAAATTATAGTGTGAGATTTTTGTGATACGTGATATAGGCTCCGACGTTTATTTTGTAGCCATGGGATGAAAGTAGATAACCATTAGATGATAAGATTAGTTAGACTCACGTTAATCTCTTTTGATAAGATTCATTGCACGTGATTTTAATTTCAGAGTTTCAATAAATTCAAACTCTAATATCATGATAAGATTAGTTAAACGTGATTTATCAGATTGTTAACTCTAGATTTATCCGCCGTAGGACTCTGCATTTGTTATGTTTTTTAAATGAATGACATTGAATTCAAATGAAATATATTTCGATCAATCCAAACACAAATGATTATCACGTTGGTGTGGACCAAAATTTTTATGATGATAAGATAAGTGGAAAGTAGTTAAGAAGTGGAGATTTTTGTGTGATAGCATCATTACATAACTACCATCACCATCAACCTTTCCATTAAATTTCGGTCCATACCAACGTGATAAAAAAAAAATTCTTGGAATTTTATTTACGTCAAACAAATAATATAATTACGTCAAAAATTTTGTACGTCAAAATTTTTATTCAAACAAATCTTTCCATCTTTGTACGTCAAGATTTTAATAATAATAATTTATATATAACACAAATTAAAATAAATATTATAATCAAATTCATATTTATGAATATAATTCATTATGATAAATTATTGAAAAATCACGCAATATAATCCATTAAATGTACTTGATTTAGTTATTGTTAATTCCGTAAATTTTTTTGTTCAAATAAAAAATACACCAATTTTGAATTCAAATGGAATTCAAAGAGTGATACTCGATCAATAAAAACCTAAAACAATTTTGAAATCAAATTGTAATTTTCAACCTTATCATGTATGATGATAAGATAAGTGCAAAGTAGTTAAGAAGTGGAGATTTTTGTGTGATAGCATCGTTACATAATTAACATCTTTCCATTAAATTTCAGTCCATACCAATGTGATACAAAAAAAATTGTTGAAAATTTTTTTATGTCAAACAAATATTATAATATTTTACGTCAAAATTTTATGTCAAACAAATCTTTTCATCTTTTTACGTAAAAATTTTAATAATAATAATTTATATATAACACAAAATTAATATAAATATTATAATGAAAATTCATATTCATATTTATGAATATAATTCATTATGATAAATTATTGAAAAATCACGCAATATAATCTATTAAATGTACTTAATTCAGTTATTGTTAATTTCGTAAATTTTTTTTTATATAATCTTATATTCGAAATATTTGTTAAAATTTGTATTAATTTATATCTTGTATCATGGAATTCTACCAATTTTAAACTAATATACACTAGAACTCAAAAATAAAATGTTCAAATTTTCACATTAATGCAACATTTAATAAAAAAAAATATCCAACGATATTTTATAACGATAACAAATATAATAACACTAAAATTTATTATAGAATTCGGAATTCATTGACATGGAATGAAATTAAAATTCATAATAACCAAACTCTAAATATCACAAATATCTCCTGCTACTTGCTAATGTTGAAGGAAAATATCAACATTTTGAGGGAAAATCCCACCATATTTGATAACATGAGTTCTTCCATAAATTTATAAATATGAATTAAAATATTTTTTAAAATTACATAAATTTGATATTACAAATATAAATATTTACCTGTTCATCATGAAACATTATATGGAATGCGTTCCAGCTCTCCCGTTGGTGATGCGTTTCAACTATTAGGACTGCTTTCAAGTGCAAAAAAGGCTTGTTTCTCCTACTCACGGAATCGAGTTGTATCCCAGACTGGCGGCATTTATTATCAATGTGTTTTGAAATCTGAAATTTATCTTTTTTTTTCTCTGTAAAATTTATCTCGGTTTTTTTTTTCCTGTGAACTGTGAATGACGTGAATTTTTTTTTTTTTTTTCTAAACTGTGAATGACGTGAATTGTTGAGTAGTGGTAGTGCATATGATTTTATACCAAACAACCGTTTTTGAACTAAAGATTCGCATAATTATGTAATAATGTGACTTATCCACATATCCCTATAATATCTCTAATCAATTAATTTTTGAATTAATCATGTAATGATAATTATGGATCCAATTGTGACTTATCCACAATCCCAATAATATCTCTATTAATAATTATGGATCCAATTGTGACTTATCCACATATCCCTATAATATCTCTAAACAATTAATTTTTGAATTAATCATGTAATGATAATTATGGATCCAATTGTGACTTTGCTATGTAAGATTTTGAATAGAACTGAAAGAAAAAAATGTATTATTGGTTGTAGCACAAGTAGACATGGCCAAAAACTGGTTTCGGACCAGTTCCGGACCTTGTTTTGGAGTGCCATGAACTGGCTCGGAAACATACATGGGTCGGTGCAATGATCTGGCAGTTCTGGGCTGGCTCATGAACTGTCGGTTCTGAGCTGATCCGATTAATTAAAAAAATAAAAAATAATTAAAAAATCAATAAAAAGGGTTGACTTGTCGGTTTCAATTCCAAATCGAAACCGCCGATTTAAAATTTATAAATGCTTGAATCGAAATCAGTCCGGATAAAATCACGGGTCGGTTCAAGGCCCGCCTACGCACGGGAGCCTGTACGCACTCGTCTGGACACATAATCATGTTTTGTTTTTCCTACTCATCTCGAACGAACCCTTACGCTCCATTTGTTTCGAGGGATTTGAAATCTCTTGATTTCAAAATTTTTGAAATATAAATTTTTTTACTTGCACACTCCTTGAATGAATGTGTTGAAAATATTATAAATTAATTGTCTAGCTCGCACCGATGGTGTTGACTCGCGGTGGTGATGAACCTAAATGATCGTGGACGGCGTGGTCGTCAACGGTGATAAACAGTGGATTTCAAATGACTAGGTTGAGGAGTCATTTAAAATCCTTCAAAATCTATTACTATATAATACGGAGAAGAAAAATTATTTGAACAATCCGAAAAAATTATTTCGTTTTCCCGCTTCAATATAGTGTTTTTCCCGCTTCTTCAATTCGTAAAATTTTTTTTTGAATTTTTTCAGCCCATGCAATTAGGTAACCAATCAAATCGAATCTTTTAGCATTCAATTTGGTAAGGTGTTCCGATTATTAAGCCTCTTTTTTGGTAATTTGATAATCTCTTCGGAAAGATTTTTTTGGTATATCTGAATTATCTATTAATCGAATCTTTACCGTAATTATTGGGTGATCGGATCACAATCCAAACAAATTCTCTCGGCTAACTATTAATCAAATCTCTCTTAATAATTCTCTCGGTCTTCTCCATGCTCAACGGCGACGACAAGATCATCCGGGAGGAGCAGATTTTTTTTTTATTATTATTATTTTAGGGTGTTGGATTCGAATTTGTATTGTGTTTGTGTTGCAGTATATTGCATTTCATCAGCTTATGAAGTGTTTTTAATTTTGTTTGATTGGATCTTCCTTAATCGTTCGTATGCAGCTATTGTTGGAGTTTGAATTGTGACTGGAATATTTGCGGTAAAAGCCCTTAATTTGGTATATCTGTTGTCGGGACCTTCTCATTTTTTTTTCACAAAATTCTCGTGTTTTAATCTTGAAGCGATTTTGGTTTTCTTGATGATGGTTCTTTTATTACGCATAAATTTGTTTTGTCGAGCTGGATTTTTTGATGGGAGATGCTTTTTAGATGGTGGGTTGGATTTTCTATTTGGGTTTCTCTAAAATTGGATTAATTTAATTTCTATGACGGGCTTCAGTCTATAAATTTGAAACCCCTTTTCTCCTGTTTTGTGCCGAGGGCTTGGAGTTTGTTGTGTGCAAAGGGGAATATAAATATTCAGTGTTTTTGGGCATTTAACATTTTTTAACATAAGTAACATGAAAAGGTCTCATCTTTAGTGTAAAATCTTGGCGGGTAACATTGACGGTCGAGAGGTTTAGCTTCGGAGTGAAGGAAGTGATTGTGGGAACAAGATTAGACGATCGTGCTAAAGAGTTGCTTGATTGGGAGCTTGTCAAGGTTGTTGATTCTGGAGATAGTGTTGTGGCTATTCATGTTTGTCGAAATTCGGGTAATCCGTTTTCCTTTGCTTTTCTGAACCCTTCATGTTTTAGCTCGAAGATGAATGCTTGTGTGCGTGTGTGTGTGTGTTTGTGTGTTTTGCTTCGCTTTTGTGTTTTTGAGGTAAGTATTCGGTTGCAGATTCTATTTCGAACGAAAAAATAATGTTGGATGGTTACTTGAAAGACTATGAAGGTTTATGCAGCGAAAAACATGTTATTATTTCATTTGTTTTATCATCAGTATTAATATTAGTATTTTGTTCTCTTTTTTTTTTTAAATTTAATTTTTATGTTTCTCTTTTGGTTTGGGGATTGAGCTATGTTCAGGTTGCTCTTAGTGTTCCAGGTTGCTCTTATTGTTCCAGTCTTGAAAGAAAATTCGATCAGAAAAATGTTATTTTGGGGATAACTAAGCATGGTAGCTTAAGAACCATTTTACTTCGGCTGTTATTTTGGGGATAACTAAGCATGGTAGCTTAAGAGATCTAGAACATGGGATGTTATTTTATTTTATTTTCCATTTCTGGTAAATTTTTTTGAATTATCGCCTATGCCAATTATATTGTGCGGATCAACTTTTTCTGATCTTTTGAATTTGGATGTGAATGCAATCCGATTTTAGTTCTTTTTTTTTTGTTAACCAAAATTACTTCAAATCTAACCAAATAGGCAATGACCAATCAACTCCAATTTAATTCCTTTTCCAACCAAAATTAGTGCAAATATTGTTAACCAATCAAATCCGATTTCACTTCCTTTTTTTTCCAATCAATCCGATTTTTTGGTTGTTTCAAAATTTGTTTAGATTTATATTTTTGAATTATCAAACCTTTTACTTTATATGAAATTCAAAATTACATATTTTAATATATTAATAAACGTTTATTATTTATTTTTTCCTTATGTGATATAATAGAATTTCGGTATTAAATTTGTAAATTCAAACATTTAAAGAAAAAGATTCCAAACAATTTTTTTCTTGGGTAAATTTCATTTTATCTTGGTTTTCATAATCACATTTCTAACAAACTAATTAGTATTATATTTTTTTTATCTACATTATCTAACCGATTTTTTATGATACAATTAATATAATATCTTAACAAATTAATCATTTGTCTAACCGGATTTATCTCTCTAACAAACTTGCCAAATTTTTTAAAATTAAAATGGTATGATTATTCTTATGGAGATACTTATCAATATATTAAATATTTAGAAACTTTTTTTAAAAACGAATTATCCCTCCTTTTACTTTATTTGAAATTCTGACTTATATTTTTAGATATATTATTATTTATTTTTTTACATGTAAATATTTATTATTTATTATCTAAGTGATAAATATTATTCAATTATCTCTTTAATAAATATTTATTAGTTATTTTTTTCCTTACGTGATATAATGTAAATTTGGTTACTAGATTTTTAAATTCAAACATCTAAAGGAAAAGACCACGAACAAATTTTTTGGTTACAATTCATTTTATTTTAACTTCCATATAATCACAATCCTAACAAACTAATTAGTATAATATTTTTTTTATCCATTTTTATATAATCGGATTTCTTAAAATATAATTAATATAACATTTTAACTATTCAATCATTTGTATAACTTGATTTAACTCATTATCAAACTTGCCAAATTTTTTTTGAAATTAAAAAAAAATTAGAAGATTTTTATTTGTAAAATAATAAAAAATAGCTTTACTTTAAAGTCTGGATTATTTCCATTATTTTTTGTAAGTTATCAATCATATATTTTGGGTTATTGATTTAAAAAAAAACCCTAAGGTTTAATAATATTCCTTAAATAAAAAATATTTTATAAAGAGAAGTATTTAATAATATATATTTTTCATTGATTGTATTTATTTTATTTTCATAATAGACGAGATGTGAAAAATATAAATAATCATATTTAAAATACAGTCTAAAAAAATGTTTAAAATATGAACTCTTTCGTGCATCGCACGGGATATACACTATCTAGCATGAATTTGAAATCCTCCAACTTCCATTATCATTCCAACATGCATGAAAATTTGAACTTGTAAATTGGAAATATATGATTATATGAATTTCAAATCGTTCAATAAATTCTTCAATCTAAACTTAGCCTTATAGAATTTTAGCATACTCAATGCATGATTCAAGCTTGTTTGAATTATCCAAGTATTCATCAATGATAAAACGTGTATCAATCCAATAATCTTTAATGTTCTGTGTCGTACCTAGCCAATTTCTTGATGAAAAATGGAATGCTTCACCAATTAACTGGATTTTAATGTTCGTAACTCCATTATTCAATTTACAATTAATTAGTAGTGTGGTGTATGTTGATTTATTCCATAAATAATAGTGGTTGTGTTTCGGTTCGTAGGCTAATGGACAAAAGTGTAGAAGTGCTATTACCTAGGCAAGGTACTACTAGTAGTAGTACTAGCAAAACACTGCTGATCCAGAGCAACGGAATTATTGGACCCACAAACATCACCATTTTTAATTCCCCTACATACTTAACATATGTTAATAAATAATCTGGATTTAATAAAAAATAAAAATTAGAAAATAAAAAGAATTAGGTTGTATTAGAGCGAAAATCTCAAATTGGAAGTAATTATTTAGAGGTATTAAAGAAAAAATGAAAGAAAAATGAATAAAAAAAGTGCACAAACATATGAACACAACATAATAAATTGATCCTTCGAATATGCACCAAGTAACAAAAACAAGGTAACAGCAAAATCAACATTAACATAATAACAGAAGCAACAGCAAAATCAACATCAACATAATAACAGAAGCAACAGCAAAATCAACATCAACATAATAACAGAAGCAAGGAGAACCCGCGCCTATCAAGAACCAAACCAGCATCGAGAGAGATGAACCTTAGCCTTGAACCCAATCATTACATTTATATAAATGCCAAAATTCGGTATATTCATTTATATAATATATATATATATTTTTTATAATGTATATTAATAATCTTGATTATATTTTATTAAATAGAATAGTTTTGACATCTATATTTTATGTATATTATATTGTTGGTAACATAATAATCTTCACATCTATATATACATACCTATATATATTGTTAGTAACATTCTATGACTTAGATTATTGATGGAGAATGCACTATAACTTTCTTGATGTTATTGTAGGAAATACTTGATTAATATTCTAATAAATAAAATAATCTTAAAATAAATAATATTGTATTTAATTATATTTTTACAATCATATATTGATAATAAATATGTGTAAGATAACGTATTTCATCAAATTATATTTTTGGTATTAAAATTAATTTAAAATAATAAAAATAATATATAAATATTAATGTAGAGTAAAATGTAGCGCGAACAATTGGAGATGAAATTTGACTATTGGTTAACTCTACTCTAGAGTAGAGTAAACTATACGATAGAGTAGAGATAAGGGTTGGAGATGCTCTAAATGCCAATTTGGTGTATTCATTTAAACATTTAATGTATTAATTTTGCCGATGGTTTCATTTTGTGTTTTAATTTTGCAATAGTGGATTCAAATTATATTGCTTCACAATTTCTATTTTAAATTACTTCATCAACATTCCTAAGTATATAATAATAATAATAAAAATAATAATAATAATAATAATAATAATAATAATAATAGTAGTAATAATAATAATAATAGATATATAAAAGAAATCCTATAAAATATATATATATATATATATATATATATATTGTAGTTTGTTTGATAATTTTTGGATTGTGACGTGTAAATGAGAAGTTATAAATCATCGTAGCTTGCTACTTAAACTCGAGATGTGAACAATAAAATGTGATAAAGGGCATAACTTAATAGATATTATATAAATTAATCTGATTTAAGAACATTTACGTAATAATAATATAACTACACAAAATACAATTGATTACTTATGTTCTATGCAGCATGTGTAGTCATCATTGATGGGTTAGTAATTAAATAAACATTTTAATGGTTAGTCACTCGTGAAAGTAGGCAACATTATTTTCTATGGAGTATTTACAATTCAAAATTTGTGGAAATGTGATTAACTGCAATGTGAATAAGAGAATTATGCCGTATATATGTTTCTCTTGAATAAAATGAAACAAATACAATATCCGTATACTACACGAGTAAATATTAAGAAAATCCACCTTATATATCATTTTAGAATGGTGGCTGAGCCTAAGTGGCATAATCTCATTATTTGGGATCTTATGTGTGGCAAATTTTCATGCTTTATCATTTGGCTTGGATTAATTTTAATTTAATCAAAATTTAAAAATAATTAGGTTTAGAATAATCATAAATATACTAAATATTTATGGTAATTTCTAAGAGTATTAATATTACATTTCTTATTCTAGATGTGATTTATAAGTCATGATTTTTTTCCTCAATCTTTTTTTTCCCTTATCTTTCTTCTAAAATTATGAAAAAATTACTAACTTAAATTATAAGTAGATTTAAAAAGTTAATATTTATTATTTATTATTAACTAGTACGAATGCACGGGTAAGAAATATTCATTAATATTTATAAATTACAAATGCTCATTAAATAATATTTATAAATTTGAAATATGGAATCAATATGTAATACAATTTACCTATAATCTATATTAATTTGTTGAATACATTATATGAAATTTAAATTGTGCAAAATTACATAAAACATGTCTATTTAAAATTAGTACACGACCCGTATGGTGCAAGTAACTGATAAAAAGTTACATTATATTCATTTCAAGGATAGATGTCATTTTAAACTTTATATTCGGAAATTTGATTTGACTACAATGTGATTTAAGTAAAAACAGACATTTGTACACACACACACACACCAAATAATTTGATACGTTTCACGTACGTTTACAAAGAAGAATCGACCATAGTATTATCCAGATTTTTCTTTCATTAATATCGAGTAAAATATTTAGCAATATGAAAAAAAAATATTGAGATATCATTTATTACCATAAGCGGGTATACTGGATCAATATATAGTATACCAAATAATTCATTTTAATAAATTATCGATAAAATACAAAAATGATATTCAGTTTAATCATGATATTAATTGCCCAGCGTACAAAACAAAATCAAGACTCAAAAATAGTTATTAAAATAATTAAATAGAAACTGTCATTAACACAATTATTTTAGAATAATTTTATAAGAAATTAAATCAATCGAACTTACATGATCTGCGTAATTATGGTATCTTAAAATTAAAAATTTTTATTGTCTAATTATTTTCTTAATTATCCACAGTTTGAGCAATTAAATACATAAAAAATGAATAA